CAGAGCCGTTCTACACCAGTTGTTGAAGCGGGCAAGTGACAATACTGTATCATATGCTTCGTATTACTCGTTTTCTACCACTTTTTGTCGCATGCGCTCTTCAACAAGAAGGCAGAGAACGGCTCTGATAGGGTGACACACTCATACTGGCTGACACGCCCAACCGTCCGCAGAGAACTAGAGTGTAAGCGCGTCGAGTTGAGCTTCTGCACCACGAAGATTGCATCACTCGTGATTTTTACGCGTTTTACCTTGCGAGATGGGTTGCAGTTGACTGTATGTGCTCCTAATGAATAAAATGTAATAAAGGAGAGCAGAATTATTATGGGCACGAGCGCGGTCAGCAAAAAGGACATGCAATTCCGATTAATGCCCGCCGCCCCAACAAAGAACAACTGAGCGGCCCTCCGTCAGAGGGCATCTAGCAAGTGGGCGGTCCAACTGAGCGGGCGTTAGAACTAGAACTTTCAGCGGCTGTAGCTCGCTCCTCGCTCGCTGTGGAGTCGCGAGAGTGGGACAGTCTCTAGCTTGGGGGCTGGACTACTTGCACAAGGAAGGACGACCATTAATTACTTGAACGCGGGGGCTGTCTTTGAATGGTCTGAGAAATTACTGCGCTAGCTGATTGCTAACGCTAGGGTCACGGAAATGAGCTATGCCAGGCCCGTTCACCCTAAACTTTAGGAGCGTGACCGTCCAGCTCAACCTTAGGAGCGTATCGAAGGCATGACCTCTTGACCATGTAAAGCGCAATTCGTCATCTACGGTAGGATCACGAAAAGGATGGATTCTACAGTAATGCGTCTAGAAGGCACGCGTCTAAGCCTGTTATCAGGAGAAGTATCAAGTGAGGCGCTTCACAAATATACGAGATCATAACAGAATGGAAGGCCATTTGTTAGAGGTAGGACCCACTGGCTGGTCGGCAGTTCCACAGAGATGCTCATCACAAATCAGGTACGGCTTGCTTCGCTTCCAGCTATCTTCAATCGGTAGACCAGGACTAATTAGTGCTTCATTTAGAAGGGTTCGGGAATTCCACCAAAAGAAAGCTGCTGCAATACCTGTTTTTCGAACATTTTTCTTTGAGATTTGTGCTGTGCTATCGTTGGAACTTGCGATCCCGAGGTCATCTTGAGAATGCTAGCCCAGGGACAAGACTTGACCCCATGTTGAACCTGGACCTCACTGATGCCGTAACAGTACGTTAACCATAAAATGCACCAAGCACTCAATGTTCTGTTCTGGTACTCTTTACATGTTGAGGGGCCGGGAGCGCACGTTCCAGCTTCAACGCTAGTTTGTGTGAACAGATCGGCTGGATAACGTTTTTACTGGGAGACTAACCCTTTGCGACTATGGTAGTCTTCACTCTGAGTTTACAGCTTCTTAGTTAGGGATGGGAGATGGAAACGCGTCCGCGAGCTCCCGCCTCCACCGATTCTCACATCGAGATGGGAAACCCCTGAATCGTATGGAATGACAGCTAGCGTACCAAGTGCAGCGCAAACATCTGAGTGATTGTGAGCCTTCCGGCCGGTCTACTTTGCAGCAAAGGAGGACACCATATCTATCACAGTCGATACCATTAACTCCAACTGGCTAGCAACTTTGCGAGCGGTACTTTCTCCTACCACTAACCCTGAAGGCAGTTGGCACGATAAACCCCTAAGACGAATAGTAGCACTTTTGAGGGCCCTATCAGGGTACAACAGCCCTTTTCGGACGCCTACGCCCACTATAGCGCCCTCCTAGCTTTTTAGCCCGAGCACCAAATTATCGTGCCAACTGCTTCTAGAGAGAAGGAAAAAGAAGACACAATTTCCTTTAGCGCCATTTCCTTTCAGTGTTATTCATCTCCAATCGTGACGTGAGCACCTCGCGGGATATCCCCGTGCGCAGTACTGAGGTGTTCAAAGCATGGGAGTTCCTTAGTATAATCCTAGTTCTATGACAGAGCTATACAGGGAACACATATTTTGGGCGGTCGCTTCCCTTCACTTTCGCTCCTCCACCTTTGCGACCCAATCACTCCGCGCAATGGCCAAGAATGTAGTAATCGGCTGTCTTTTATAGCAGAGGACGGTGTTATCTTAACCGAAGCATTGAGCTATAAATGATACCTCTAGACCAATTAGTTTTGGAGTTTCATTAGCGGTCGCTCACAATCACCTAAGGCTGCGTTTATACTTTGCGGCAGCGTAGCGTAGCGCTTCCAGCGTACGCCAGCGGCACGCTAGCGCACGCTGGCGTAGCGAGGGCACGGGAAGCATAGCTATCGATCTAGCTTCACCAGCGTTTCTCCAGCGTTTTCCCAGCGCTTGCAGCGACGGGGCTAGAGTCGCGGATGCGACGATCGCACCTCGCGCCCCGGCCCATCCGCGCTCGGTTCCCACGGCGTGCGCTTCACGTGCGCCGTGGTTCCGCCCCCTGCGGTCGTAGCCAGTGTAGTACGTCCCGTGGCTGGCAGCCGGCGCCGGTTGGTTTTCACCGGGTAACGCCAGGACAGGGCCCAAGGCGGAGGGGTGAAGCCCACTCCGAAGCCGGGGGCAGCTCGAGCGCCGGCCATGAGCCGGCCGATGTCCATCCCCTGCTCCCCGACTGGGAGCAGCCTCTGCTCCAGCCCCGAGGACATCGACGACCGCATGGAGCGATGAGGGCTACCGCCGGCAGGATGGGGGCCTAATACGTATGAGGGGATGAAGCCTAACAGGGCCTATTGCGTACTCAGAGGGGCAACGGCC